TCCCTACACACAGGCTCCAGATAACAGTACTACCTGATGTACACAGAATTAGAATTCAATATTGTTATTAACAGAAACATTGTCCCCAGATTGCTTTACTGAAATCTGCTGTCAGTAATTAAGAACAAGGCATCATTTTGCCACTACTTTCTTTGCAGGAAAATCATCCTAAGTGGTACAATTCAATTATCTGTCAGCAGAGAAATCAACTGGAAATGTTCTAAACGCTCTGCACAAAGAGCTACCAAGAAAAGCTGATTTAACTGAGCAAATATTTGTCTCTAGTCTAGCTAGGACATTTTCAATATACTTTTGGTATATGACTGAATATACTGCATATCCAGATATTTAAATAAAGAAAAAAAAAAATCCTGAGGGTTTTTTTACTAGAATTTGGCACTATATAACGTGTTTTGAGACTGCATAGGGAAGCACTTCATGCATCCTGCAGTCCAATCACATCAGTCAGGGGCAAGCTATAGGACATGAGTGATAGACTCCAACTTTCCTTCATAAAGAAAATACCCTGTTGCAGTTTAACACCAGCCAGCAATTAAACCCCTCACAGCCCCTCACCCAGTCTCCCCCAGTGGGATGTGGGAGAGAACTGGAAGAATAAAAGTAAGAAAACTCATGGGTTGAGATAAAGACAGTTTAATAATTGAAATAGAATATAAACACAATAATGAATCTTAATGAAAACAACAGAAAGACAGAAATAACACCCAAGAAAACCAAGTAATGTGAATGAAAAACAACTGCTCCTCACCTGTCGACCGATGCCCAGCCAGTTCCTTAGCAGCAGACCGCAGCCAGCTTTCCCCCTAGTTTACACACTGAGCATGAACTCATATGGCATGGAATATCCCTTGTGTCAGTTGGGATCAGCTGTCCCACCTGTGTCCCCTCCCAGCTTCCTGTGGCTCCCATCCCCCACCTCCAGCTTCCTCACTGGCAGGGCAACAAGCAGCTGAAGGGTACTTGACTGAGTGTAAGCACTAAGCAATAACTAAAATATCAGTGTGCTACCAACATTATTCTCACGCTAAATCCAAAACACAGCATTCTACCAGCTACTAGATAAAAATTAACTCTACCCCAGCTGAAACTAAGACAATATCCACCCATGATTCTATACCATCTTTGTCCTGCCCAGGTCCCGCACCTTCCAATGCATTCCAATTAATCACCACCTCTCCTGTCTTTTGATACATACACACAGATAATCACACCCTTAATCTATAGACCATCACTCTAAAATGTTCATTGAGTTCATTTAATTCACAACCGGGGGCTCCATCTGTCGTAACAGTCCTTCAGGGCAGGAGGATGGTGTGTGATGTCGGATTCTTGCATGCTGAAGGCAGTTCTGATCCACCAAAATTCATTCTTCATTAATCTGGGTGATTCTTACTGTAATACTGTTGATATGGCATACAACAGCCACAGTAGTGACGGCATACAGTATTATACAGCAACTAACATCATGCAAGTCAAATCATTGGTTATTCTCACCCAAAATCAAACCCTCTTGAGGTACACACCGGACTTCCCCACCCTCCCGTATTACCCACCCAGGTCTTTGAGCAAAAGCAATCCCACGAGTGCGTTTGCCTTTGCCTGAGGCAGGAATAACCCAGACTGTCTTCCCCGTATATTTTTTATGTGCACTACAGGGGCTACGGAATATAACAGTTCTGATTGGGCTGGGCCAGCCCTGTTGGCAGATCCCCAAGTGCTGACTAACCAGGTGGCTTTTGCTAAATGTGTATCCCAACGCTTAAAGGTCCCACCACCCATTGCTCTCAGTGTAGCATTTAACAACCCATTGTACTGTTCAATTTTTCCAGTGGCTGGTGCATGACAGGACATGTGATATACCCACTCAATGCCATGCCTGACTCAGCTCTTTCTTATCCATGGTCAAGCTGATCCCTGGATCACAGGTCCATCTATATGTTGCATCACTTTCTTGGTAGCCTGAGGTGTCATGGGCCCACCAGGCTAAAAATAATTCACCCTTATGTTGCCAATCTAAGTCCATCTGAGCCACCTCAATCTTAGCAGCTCTATCCACTTGTTGGTTGTTCTGGCGTTCCTCAGTGGCACGACTCTTGGGAACATGAGCATCTACGTGGCGTACCTTTACCACCAGGTTCTGCACCCGGGCAGCGATATCTTGCCACAGTGCAGCAGCCCAGATGGGTTTACCTCTGCGTTGCCAGTTGCTCTGCTTCCATTGCTGCAACCACCCCCACAGGGCATTTGCCACCATCCATGAGTCAGTACAGAGATAAAGTGCTGGCCATTTTACTCGTTCAGCAATGTCCAAGGCCAGCTGGATGGCTTTCACCTCTGCAAACTGACTCGATTCACCCTCTCCTTCAGCAGTGTCTGCAACTTGTCTCAGGGGACTCCACACAGCTGCCTTCCATCTCCGGTGCTTTCCCACAATACGGCAGGACCCATCAGTGAACAAGGCATATTGCTTTTCACTCTCTGGCAGTTCATTATACGGTGAGGCCTTTTCAGCACATGCTACCACTTCCTCTGGTGATATTCCAAAATCTTTGCCTTCTGGCCAGTCCATGATGAGTTCCAGGATTCTTGGACTGAGATTTCCTATTTGAGCTCATTGTGTGTCTAGTGCAACTCACTTACGTAGCATCAGCTGCATGGCGTGTAGAGGAGACCTTCCCTCTGAACATCCAGCCCAGCACAGACAACCGGGGTGCCAGGAGAAGCTGTGCTTCAGTGCCAGTCACTTCTGAAGCAGCTCGAACTCCCTCGTAGGCTGCCAGTGTCTCCTTTTCAGTGGGAGTGTAGCTGGCATCGGATCCTCTGTATCCCCGACTCCAAAAGCCAAGGGGTCGACCTCGAGTCTCCCCTGGAGCTTTCTGCCAGAGGCTCCAGGTAGGACCATTCTCCCCAGCTGCGGTATGGAGCACATTTTTCATATCTTGCCCAGCCCGGACTGGTCCAAGGGCTACTGCTATCTTGTTTAATCTGTTCAAAGGCTTCTTGTTGTTCAGGGCCCCATTTGAAATTGTTCTTCTTGTAGGTCACTTGCTAGAGAGGGCTTACAATCAGACTGTAATTTGGGACGTGCATTCTCTAAAACCCCAAAAAGGCCTAAGAAAGCCTGTGCTTCCTTTTTACTAGCTGGTGGAGACATGGCTGTTATTTTGTTGATCACATCCCTTGGGATTAAGAAAAAAGTATTAGCAGTATCAATAGTAGCATACCACTTGGCTGAGTAATCCCACAACTGAAGGGTCCTTCAAGAGACTGAGCAAGGTGGACAGTGGCTTAAGTTCCTCTATCTTCAAGGTAACTATAACAAAAGCCCACTGCTATCCTTCTGGGTCCTTGGCATAGACTGTCTCTCCTGAAACAGTCTATGCCAAGGATGCACGGAGCCTCTAGGCCAGTCACAATGAGGTGCTTTTCCTACTCATTCTCATTTCTGCCTGCAGTACAGTCAGCTGTTCAAATTCCCCTGTCACTCCAGAAATACAGATGGGTTCTGCCCCTTGACAGCTTGATGGCATTAGGATACACTGTGCAATTACATCTACTACAGCCTTATACTCACTCCTGTGGGTCTGACGTGCCAGGCCATCTGATCCACAGAGTCCAATATACCCAGATGTCCCCTTCCTCCACCTGGCTGGAGGCAGGGTGCCCTAGTACTGGTAATAGTATTTGTCACTCCCTTCTTGTAAAAACAAATCAGAAGACCCTTTATTAAGATCAGCCCTTCTCTGTCTGGGGAACTGCCCGTGGAAACTGGAGAAGCAATTTTCCTGGAAGAACTCCCTTTTGCAATTGTTTTTTCTTGCAACTCGTGTACCCGTGCCTCTAGGGTTGCAGTAGGTTTTCCATCCCACTTCCTCATATCCTCTCCATGGTCACACAGGTAAAACCATAGGGCACCCCGTGGTGTGTACCCACTATATCCTCTCTCTTGAGCAGAGGAACTCTTATTCCTAGTAGCCAAGACACTGGGCCGTACAGGTGACAAGTAGGATATGTCCTCTCTGAATTGCTGGAACTCATAGGACAGTTTCTCCTAAGCCAAGACAAGGGAGGAAGAGAGACATGCTTCGTAATGCCAGAGCCAGCCAGCCAATTCATCCACTGTTTGTCCCTCTCCATCCTTCCACCTCATTACTGCCAACGAGTTAGCATAGAGTGATGGTACACTCTTTACAAACTTCCGCCACATGTATCGTGTGCACCTGACTTCATCTGGGTCTTTGGGTAACTTCTCATTGTCATCATAAATCACCTCCAGCACAGCTAATTCCCTCAGGTACTGGATACCTCTTTCTGCGGTGGTCCACCTGCCTGGGTGACATACAACGTCCTCCTTGAATGGATACCGCTGCTTCACGCTTGACGGGGTCGTCTCCAGAGGCTGAAGGCTTGTGCTCCTTTTCCAATTGATTTGTCAATGCCTTCTTTCCTAGAAAGGGGTCCCAGCCACTTGGCTTCTCTACCCTCCAATTTCACACTACTCGCCCCATTATCCCAGCATCGGAGCAGCCAGGTGAGAATGTGCTCGCCTGGATGACGACTGAAATCTTTTTGCATATCTCACAGCTCACTCAGGGATAGGGATTGGGTGGTTACTGCCTTGTTCATGATTTCTCTCTCTTCGTCCTTCTCCTCCTCCTCTTCTTTTTCCTCCTCCTCCTTCTCATCTTCTTCTTCTTCTGGTGATGGCTCTGCTTCAGAGGATTCTGTCTCACCCACTTCCTCCCCTACTAGATGAGCTGACTTTTGCTCCCAATATGTCTTCTTGTGTATAGGGACAACTGATACTGGCACAGTTTGGTTCCCTGGTTCAGCTGCACTGCCTGGACTGGGGGTTGAAGGAACTACAGTGTCTGTTGCAGGGGCTGGAGTAGCCTGGAGGAGAAGGTGAAGGAGCGAGAGAAAGTGTTTCCCCTTCTCTCCCCCATAGATTGGCTCTCCAAGGCAATCATTAATAGTTCCTGAGAGATGGCTCTCGAAGTACAGAGATAACGCCAATGCTGAGTACAAACACCAGATTAGCCTCACACCTAGTAATTTTATCATACTATAAGCCAGTGTTATCTAGTACATCAACATGATAGCCTTAACCCAGACCCCAGAGGTGATAAACAGCATAAAAGGAACAAATACAGCAAGTAAGGGCCTACAGAACTCTGAGGACAAGCACATGAGTCCCATGCAGGCACCAGAAAGGACTGTCATGGTTTAACATGAGCCAACAACTAGGGCCCACACAGCCACTTGCTCACTATCCCCCAGTAGGATACAGAATTGTATCCTGCAGGGGACAGAACTAGAAGGGCAAAAGTAAGAAAACTTGTGGATTGAGATGAGAACAGTTTAGTAATTGAACTAGAAGAGTTTAATAATTGAAATAAAAGATAATAATAAATTGTATTAAATTGTTATTTAACAAAAGGAGAGAAATAACACCCAAGAAAACCAAGCAATGTGAATGAAAAACAACTGCTCCTCACCTGCCGACCGATGCCCAGCCAGTTCCTGAGCAGCGGCCCCCAGCCAGCTTTCCCCCTAGTTTACACACTGAGCACGAACCCATATGGCATGGAATATCCCTTGTGTCAGTTGGAATCAGATGTCCCACCTGTGTCCCCTCCCAGCTTCTTTTGCCCCGCCCTGCCCCAGCAGGGCAGCACAAGAAGTTGAACAGTCCTTGACTGAACATAAGCTCTAAGCAGTAACTAAAACATCAACGTATTATCAACATTATTTTCATCCTAAATCCAAAACACAGCACTCTACCAACTACTAGGAAAAAATTAACTCTGCCCCATCCTAATCCTAACCTGACACCCATCCTAATACATCAAAAGGCCTTCTTCTTATGGCCACAGCAAGGAAGAGATGTGTGTAACTCATATCACACACCACTGTGAGATTCCAACTAAGTCAGATGTCACAAACATAGACAGAACATACACTAGACTGCCAAAACTAGTTTGGTGCTTCTGACTGCAACATCTTCCCAGAGGTAAAATCTGAACCATAATACTTCATTAAGCTAAACTGGATCCACCAGTGCTTCTGGGTAATCTTACCCCATCCCCCTCACTCATTATTAGCAAGCTTAGTTCTGTGGTAAGCAAAGAAGTTATTTTAGGTGCAAGGTCTTACAACCTACCTGTGTGGGGAAAGGTACCTGGATGCGCCCTTCTAGGATGTTGTCAGTGGTGATCTCTACTGAACGAGTTAGCTGCAGATCCTGTAGAATTACATGATAAGGAACTTGAGGGAACATCTCCTGAATCTGATGGGCCTGGAGAAAGCAAGGTTTATATAGTCAGGATCAGCAGTAAACAAAAGTTCGCTGGTAAGTATCTCAACAGAAAGACAGACAAAAAAAAAAACAGCCCAGACATGCTGTTTATGATATGATAACCCACACAAGAGAAAAAAACCCCATACTGATACTGACTTACAGGGCAATAATAACTCTAATGAAGCCAACAGCAAAACTCCATAGAGACACCACATGACCCTGAAAATTTAGATTCCTGAACAGTGTTTGTAGATGCACAAAGGTTTCAAAAGCTTCCTTACCCTATATTTATGACAGCCTTTTTAAGAAAGATCTATACAAAATTCACAAGTGACTGAAAGTTAGATCGACACACACACAAAAAAAAAAAAGTATTTTTCTTTGTTTCAGATGGATTACAAAATGGTACTGGTAAAGACAAGTGGAATATGTTTTAAAAACCTATTCTGCCTACAAACTACCTTAACAGGATCTGAAAGCTCAAGTAAATTCAACTGAGTTGTCAGGGAACTGTTACTATTGAATTTCAAGCTACTTAAATAATACCAAAATTAAATATATAAAAGTAAGGTAGGGAGAGATATGTAAACAGTAAGAATGGAAGGAGTTTTTAGAGCAAAGCAAAAATAATGCATCAGCTGACAGTGAGTTCAAACACAAGCAACCACAGCAAACCTAACTCTGCATTGTACTGACTTCTGACCAAAACAACTGATTTAGCATTTCAGCCTCTGGCTTTTCCCTCCAAATACTTCCCTAGGTTTTTATTCAGTAACACACAAGAGAGTTTCACTTACTTTCTATTAAAAATGTGTAACATTTCAATAGTTTGCTAACCTGGGTCTTTCCATTAAACAGGGCATGTTTATAAGTTGCTACTGTACTTTCAATAATACACAATGCTAATAAATCATTGCTCATCTCTAACAAAAACCCATTTGTGTCACTGTGCCCAGCAAGAGGAAATCTAAACTGACCTTAGATAGAGAGCTCCTGCATATTTACCTAGTAAATCATCTGCCAATATCTTACTGCTCCCTGCCCACCCTGCCCCAAACCCCCTACAAACTGTGGCCTTATCCTCTTGAGATTTGAACAGTGATAAAGGCTACAGAAGAGATATCACATTCAGAGATTCATTTTCCTGAAATAGTTCACTGAACATTTATTAACATGCTATAGCACACATTAGTTTTAAGAACTCCAAGGAAACAGCACTTCTCAAACTAAATGAATCAAGTGTGTTTCATGAGGCCATACCCTCTCTTTTCGCACTATATTAGAGTATGAAGTAAACAAACATGGGATTTGATGCTCAACACTCCTGTCATCATCATGAATCAGCAAGAGCTGGAGATACAGACAGCCCCATCTCACACTGACAAGACGTTCAAACAGAAACAGGTATGTTTGGAGCTTAGTGCTACTAAAAATAAATACAAAAAACATCAAAAGCTATAGAATAGGTTTGATTAGTTACCACTTGACTAACAGCTAAATCCTGTGGTTATAGACTCACACCCTTTGCTACTGCAAGTTGTGAGTGAAGTACTCAAAAAAAAGCTAAAGTTGCACTAGGCAAGCTGAGGAAAAGGAGTCTACCTATCTACTGGGAAAGTACACATAATTTTTCTTCCTCATTTACCTACCTCCAGACCTGTTCTTTTATATTTGCACATTTGACCCAAAGCATAGCCCTAATCTCGCTAAAATAAAGCTCCTCTCACTCAAAACCTCCCACCTTTCATGTAGTATCTAAACACTGTTCTGACTTCCTTCCCCTTATGTTCTCCATCTACATGAACCTCTTCCCTCCCCAACACAAATAGGAAGGCTAAGGTGCAAACTAGTGAAGCAGTCTTACCATAGCATTAAGCTGAGAGTTGCCGGTTTGTGTGATACCGAGGATGTTTGTTGTGTGCATCACTTCTACTGAAAAACTGGGCAGCCAGCTGGCAATTCGAGAGCCTAAGAACAAGAAATCACCAAGAAAGTCAAGCAAGAATCTGAGGTTTTCAACAGGCAAAGTACTTCTACATGCATGTATCGTAAGTCTTCAGAAAGACCACAGGTAGATAAGGGAAGCTCTGCAGTGCAATCCGTCCCTAAGTTCTCCCAAACACAGAGATGGCTGCAGTGAATCAGTAACTGCCAATGCTCTCTTCAAACACATGTCATAGTGGCTTGCCAATCTGAGGGACAGAAGAGGATCAAGGAAACACATCCTTCTTTTCTTGTTTTAGTGTTCAATCAAATAAGGCAGAGCCAAATTCAGTTCTACAGTACATGAATAGCTCCAGCAATCTTACTAAAAAAAGGCCAGTTTCTAAGCAGGCTGAATCTGGTCCCGAAATGGGTCAGCTGCAAGTGGCTGGTGTCACTGACAAAATATCACTACAAAGGGACATAGTAACTGAACAAGAAGTGACTACTGCAATTGTGCGTTTAGGCTCAACAGAACAGGGCACGTGGCTGGCTTCCTCCTCCTTCTGCATTTCCCTTTAAGTAAATACAGGGTTTGCCCTGTGCCACTTCTCTTTCTATCTCCACAGCAATTCTGGAGGTCTCCAAGCCACAGGAGAGCACTGGGTAGGACAGCTATCAAGAAACAGAGTGGTAGCCTAAACCTAAATGTCCTTTGGAGACGTAAAGCACCGCAAAAGTGGGAGCCATCCAAGAAGTTATCTGCCAGTCTTAGCACACCTAGAAATGTCTGTCCCTTCTCCGCCTGTTATTGTCCTCCCACAACCTTCAAAGATTGCAAAACCAGTACAGATGAAGAAGGGGTCGCTGTGTAAGTCTGCAGCATCCCAGCAACATAGAATCATAGAATGGTTCGGGTTGGAAGGGACTTTAAAGCTCATCCAGTTCCAACGCCCGGCAACAGGCAGGGACATCGGGGGGTCTCCCCAGAGCACAACAGAGAGGGAGAATCCCCTCCCTCGAACTGCTCCTCAAAGGGGTTTCTGGACTGCAAATGCACACATAGGGAGCTTCTCATCAGCCAACACCCCAAAGTCCTTCTCCTCAGATCTGCTCTCAATCCAGTCTCTGCCCAGCCTGTGTCCATGCTTGAGACTGCCCCAACTCAGGTATAGGACCTTGCACTTGGCCTTGTTGAACTTCATGAGGTTTGCTTTGCTAGAACTTACAACACACCACTGAAAAAAACCCTGTCCTAGTTACATGATTCCTTGTAAGAATAAGCTTCTGCACCTAACCAAGCATTTTAAGTTTCTTGTAAATTAAGTGGAAAATGGACTTTTGACAACCTCCCATTTAGCTAAGGGATAGGGGAAAGATCAACTTGAAGACTGCACCACAGAGGTTTTTTTTCCCTCTTTGACTGACACTGATTAACTGCTACCTGGTAACAAAATAAGACGCATGAATTTCCCATGCTGCTCATCAACGTGACAGGCAATGAATAAATGCTGGTATTAAAACTGCTAACCACAATAAATCAAGAAAAAGAGAGCATTTGTACAAAATCTTTCAACAAATCTTTGTAGCTCTGGACAACCCCAGAGACACATTATCTGAGCTCTTGCAAAAGAACTGTAAGAAACATACACATATCTGACAAATGCAAGCAGAAGCATGGTTTGAGTTTCAACTGAAGCATGGACGGAATGCCCTTCTACAGAAGGCTGTTGCCTTCACTTATTAGCAGAACTACATGTCAAATCTGCTTAGCTCACCATCAAAGTGGAAGAAGTGATTGTGCTGGTTCAAGCGCGGTCTGCCTTCTGCTACTGCCACAGGGCCCAGATTCTCATCCATATTTTCCCTTTGGTGATCCTCCCTCACATGATGGCTGTCACTGATATTAAGAGACATTCTGCAGGTTGGGCAAGATGTATCTTGTTCCAGCCAGGACCGCAGGCATGAGCTGACAGGAAAACAGGAATACGATGAGCTTGCAGCATTTTTCCAAGACACCAGTATCACAAGTACATCAAGCAGCTGTAACAGATTCTGTACAGAACATTAGCGCACAGACTGCTCAAATAATTTGTGAGGTACACTTGATGAGCCCCTGATGGCTCTGGCAAAGGTTTCTCATTTCTTTCAGCTGAAAACACTCAAGTGTTTACTTTTTATAAACAAGCATGCAGATTTATTACAAACTTAAAACACTCTCTGAGTTTGTCCCTCTAGCTCAGAAAAGCAAGTTTTGCCTGGAAGGGGTAAGAAAGCTGTTCTCTCTCCATCCCATCTGAAAAAGGACAAAATCCAACTGGACAAATATTTAACATACACTAACACATTTTCATAGCAGTTCCGACGGTGTGATGTGGCAATGGCACCCCAAAAGCTTTTCTAATATCTTTTCAACACTATCAATAACCAAATTACCAACAAAGTAAGTACCATCCTGGGAACTCTCAGCTTTATTAATACTAATGAGTGCTGTACTATTACAATGCTTACTTAATTTTGAACATTTGCTGTCTTGCAGAAAGTGAGAAGCATTTGAATTGCAGGTTTAAACACTCAGAGCTGTGCCTGCTTTTTGATTCACACTGATATGACCAAATTGTGGTATTTGTTGGCAAGTTGAATCTGATTTTCAGTATGGAAGTACTGAATTTCAAAGAACTGAACACTTCTCTCTACTACAACACATACTTCACACTTCAAGGGTGGGATTTGTTCCAGAAGAAGCTCTCCAAACAGTTTAGAAAGATTTAGAAAGTTTAGAAAGAATCCCAGACTAGTTTAGGTTGGAAGGGACCCTAAAGCTCATCCAGTTCCAACACCCTGCCAAGGGCAGGGACAACTTCCACTAGAGCAGGTTGCTCCAAGCCCCGTCCAACCTGGCCTTGAACACTGCCAGGGATGAGGGAGCCACAGCTTCTCTGGGCAACCTGTGCCAGGGCCTCACCACCCTCACAGGGAAGAATTTCTTCCTAATGTCTAATCCAAATCTACCCACTTTCACTTTAAAACCATTCCCCCTTTTCCTGTCACTACACGCCCTTGTAAAAAGTCCCCCTCCAGATGTATTTTAGAATCACAGGTTAGCCTGAGTTGGAAGGGACCTTCAAAGCTTATCTAGTCCAACCCCCCTGCAATGAGCAGGGACATCTTGAACTAGATCAGGTTGTCCAGAACTACATCCAGCCTGGCCTTGAAGATATGCAAAAAGGTCAAATAAACTTGTAGCCTGGCCTTGGAGATAAGCAACAAGGTCAAATAAACTTGTTTCCCAAATTGTGTATTTGCAAATAAAGGCACAGATCACAGGTTTAGGCTGACAGAACAAGGAAAAAGTCCTAATTGAAGGACTATTGCAAAGTCAAGAGTACAAACACTCCACACAGGTCCCAAAGCTGTGGCCTATAAACACACTGCCAAAGTGTTCTCCATCATATTTACATGGAGGGATATGCAGTGTTCAGAAATTACAATGATGGGTTTCCCAGAATCAAAGCACTACAGTAAAGATCTACCATCTTGATCATCAGCACAGTCAGCATGTTAGCATTGCCAATGCTGTCCAACTTCATCTCCATCAGCACAGCAAAACCACCCTGCACACAGCAGACTCAAACCTTTGCTAGAGTTGTACTCAAAAGGTCACCTGTGAAACAGGCAGGGTGACACAAGATACCGCCAGGCTGGTGCTCCTCAACAGCTCAACCAGTGAGATGCTGGAAGGGGCACTGACCCCTAGCAGGCTGCATCAGCACCAAGCCCTAAAGGCTTGCAGTAAGCCCACCGTGGTTATATCCATTTTGTGCAACACAGGCAGAAAGGCTTGGTTGCCTGAAGCCTCTCAGTAGAAGGATAACTAGCAACAGGTCAAGGATGGCAACGCTTCAGAGCAACAACTCTTTTGAAACTGACTGCTTCCTAGAAGATAAAGGAAAGAGTTTTAACAGAGCCCAAAATATTCAGACACCTACTCCCACGAAAATTCCTTAATACTAAGGCACAGAATTGATCGCAACTATGTGAATTTTCCCTGCCATCTTCTTTTCTACTCCAAATAAATGGCCATGAAAAAGCATGCCATGTAATTGAGAATGGACACAATGCTTAGCCTGTTGGCAAAATCACCAGGTTTTTATGAGGATAGAAGCCATTCTTAGGTTGTAAATAAGGTTGTTAATTACATCTGGTTTTATATGCACATGTAAGTCATCCACTGTAACAGGTTAACTCCCTAAATGCACAAAGGAATTAAGTGTAACTTAGCTTCAGGAAAAAACACAGAAGGATCCGTTTAGATACAGAGAAAACAATTGTGAAAATAAGACCTTGGGCTTCTCAAGTACTCAGTAGGTGATAAGATATTCATATGATTCAGTAGCACTGGAATAGGAGCGTGCTACAGAGGCACATTATCTCATTAGAGACTTCTTGGAACACAGATAAATATTTATGGCAAGGGCTGTCACAAATGACAACAAATTAGCACACAGATTACAACCTCTGGTTTGACAGTTGCCACAAAAAGTAAAAAGCTCTTTGCAGAAAGTAACTTGCCTATATGGTGGAACAGGGACAATCTAATGGACCATACATGTTAATCACATGGAACTTCAGGAATTCCTGATTCAATCTCTACATCTCCTTTCATTTTTAACTACAAGTATGAAAACGTAAGCACTGCTACAGAAGATCTAAGAAAAGAACATCTAGCACAGCACGCTGTCTCCACGAGCAACTGCTACTATACACTACCTACTGAGCGTAAGACACAGGATATACAGAGATCCTTTAGCCAAAATCCTCTCATTTCCAACTACCAGCTGCTTAGGGGCCTCTTCAGCTAATTTGGTAACCCTCTTTTACAGCCCAGATGGACTCATCCCCCCCATATCAGACCTGGCCTCAACAACTGTCCTTGGAGCCTCACCAACATGCAAGCACCACACCATACAAAAATATTCCCTGTTCTCTTTTTAAAGCTGGTATTTGAAAGTTACTTAAGGACCTAACTAACTCCACTTTTCCTTCCTCATCCAAAAATCAACACACCCTCATGGAATAGCTGATGAGTAGGATAAAGTAAGGGCAAAAAGAATGTGCTTTACCCAGTAGTTACACAGCAAGGCAGGATACAGAGTTGTAACTGAGGTACCATAACTCAACACTACCTCCCACTAGTTGACAAGATGCATAATCTTAGTTTGGGGTGGGAGAAAGAATGCACCAGGTGAAACAAATCAAACGTGGAAAAAACTGATGTGAACATGACTTTGTGCTTTGTTATTAGCAGAACAAGATGACCCAAGCAGTAAGCATGCACAGCTTTGCTGATGGTTCATTACTTGTCATCCTGCTGCAACTTTCAGACATGTCCATAGCTCCCTTCCTTTCTACAGTCAGGTGCACCCTTCTCCAGCCCCAGAAACATACTTGTGGAAGAAGTGCCCGCAAGGCAGTTTGCGTGCAGACTGCATGGAGTCCCAGCAAATGGCACAGTCGTCATTATTGGCTGCTAGTTCCTCCGGTGTTGCAACTGCAAACCTACAAAGAAGAAAAAGGAAGAGACAGAAGTAATGACTACAACAGCTCAGCATGGCCTCCTGTCTAGAGGCTCCCACACTGAGAAAGCCTTATCCTCCACATTAACTTTTCTGACACACATTTTTTTTGCACAGACCATACATCCCAAGAGCAAAAAGTTTTGACTTAGTATCTTCTAAGATGTATAATGAGGTTGAGAACCTAAAATTATAATCTGTCTAGATCTGGCTTGTGTCATTTTTCTAAATGAGTTTTCATAGCTGTACCCATTAAGATGTCTTTCTGGGATCATAAGCATTTATGGTCTGACAAATTTTGGTCTCAGATTTTTTGAACCCCCATTTCTCTTTAATCTTTTATTTTCTTCTTGAACCACAGCACCATGCAAGCAGCTACTACACAGCACCCAAACACAGATAATATAGAGATGAACTGTTTAACAACATTTCACAGTACTGCTGGCGTGGAATATACCTGAAGAACAACTACCAAAAGGCAGGGAGCTTGCTGCCATTGGCAGGTTCAAGAGGAAGCTAGAACACGGTTCTTCCAGAAAAATCAGAATGACAGAAACACATCAAGTCACTCAGACAAGAAGTCTAAGGCACCTGCAACTCAAACAGCTTTGTGAGCAGCTTAAAGTGGTTTAGTGGCTGCATCTTACTAAAAAGAGACAAAGCATTGTGGATGAACTTTATTATGCAGCTCTTAACCTGATATTACAGCCATTCAATGACTCCTCATCAAAAAAAAAAAAAAAAAAACCTTGTGAATTTCTATAGGAGTCAGATTTCTTTCTTCATGTGGACTACAGCAGAAGGCATGAGCACCAGTAAAACCCACAAAGTCCACAAGGAAAATGGTACAGCTATGTACAGAAAGAGCAAAACTTTCTGCTGCTCTTAAAAGTCATGGCTAGGTTATGAAAACATGGGATCAGAGACGCAGTCACATCTGGCACAATACTAGGTTTTAGTAGGCCTCCCAATTCCTCTATATTGCCTCACTAGAGAGGTATGGACTAAAGTAATCTAAAGTGATCTCAGCTCCCCTACAAGTACAGAGTCTTTTAGAGTTGGCTTCAGGTTTAATAGATACATACCCCTAAAGCAAAAAGCAGATTGTAAATAATATTTTGATTTCAATATCTGAATAGTATGGCCTAATAAAATTAAAAGCGTTTATTTCTATCACAGCCAAACCCAATAACTGACAACTAAAACAGGCAGAGTTCTGTAGAGATTATGTCACCCCCTCATGGTAGTATACAAGAAAATGCAGGAGAGAAAAACTGGTCTGGGGAGTTCACATGTTGCCAGTAATAGTTTATCAGTAATATTGCTATTATAAAAGTCAATCCTACATATCTGTTAACACCAGAAAGCATGTCCCCAGTATCAAATAAAATGGGTAAAAATGCACTCCTAAGTGTAAAGACTTAAGAGCTGGATTTGCAAGATTGCATGTCTCCAGCTTGCATCATGTATGAAAGGAACCTAAAGGAATCTCAGTTTCTTCATCAGACTCCTCTCTCCGACATTCCAGGGCAAATAAGAGGCTCACCTAGCTTCCATATTTCCAACCACACGGAGATAGTTCTTATGCCGCCGAATTCTTCGTTGAACCTCGTGAAACAGGTAGCGTAGCTGCATGAAAATCACGAGGCTTGCCATTGACAACCAGATATTACCAAAGAGCTTCAGGAAAAAACAGAAGGGTGATTATAAACTATCACGAAGAATTGCACCAGGTCTTACGAGGAAAAGAAACTGAAAAACCAGCACTGAAGAATTTTTCTTTCACTAAGACATTCGGACTAACCACACATAGCCAGGTTGGACAGGACTTGGAGCAACGCGGTCTAGTGGAAGGTGTCCCTGCCTGTGGCAGGGGGTGGAACGGGATGAGCTTTAAGGTCTCTTCCAACCCAAAACAGGTTACGACTTTACATTCACAGGTATTATCACTCATTCCATCTTCAGATACAACTTAAGCAGCAAAGCATTTATAGTAAGAATAAACTGTATTTGGTCCTGTGCAACTTAATGTCCCCTGCTGCCAATGAAAATAAGTCAGGCTGCTATTACTTAATAGCAAAGCTAATTAAACACCTATTAAACAGGTTATTACACAGTATTTAATACTCCATAACCAAGTTATTTGTGAGGACTCCGATTACACAAGAGGAAAGAATGCCAGAAACCACCCCCCGTACATTTTCCTCTTTATTTAAGTAACTTTAATATTTGGTTCCTAAAATAAGCAAAGCAACAAAATATAAAAAATACATATACCCAGTACCCTTTATTTTAAGGCCAGTCTATTTGCTCAACCTTACATCCAGTATTTCATACCAGCATATGAATGTGATGCATCAAGTCCAGTGAAAGCAAGGTGAGCTCCATGACAAAATCGGTGTAGTAGACGTAAGTGCCTTTGCCCTCCCACATGCCTTCATGGCTGAGATCCCAGAGGTGAATTATGTATCTGTAAAAGCAGAGAAATTAACATTATTCTGTCTTTTTGTTAAATCTCTAGCATTCAAACTATTTTATCCATTTTACAAAGTTTTTGGATATGTATTCTTTGCCCCTCCTAAGCCCAGTGCCCGCACTCTGTATGTTCCTGAGGGACTTTTCTTTAATGCTATTGGTTTCAAACAGCAACATTTTAAAAAGACAAAAAGCAATCAATCAAAGCTTGGCCCACACTGCTTTACAGATACCATCAGCCGACAAAGATACAGCATTTGCTAAAAATTTCTGCATGTACCGAAAAAGGGATTATAGTAACTACAGACCCACGCTTTTCAGTACATGAGGTGTTTCCCAAGTGAAGCATTACAGTTTGGTGACAGACCCAAAATGCCACCAGTGATCGGACCAAGAGGTTCTGCTCCACATGTCACATCCTACATCTGCACACACGCGTGCATTACAGATACACAGGCATGCTACTCTTCCAAAGCAGAAGCTGTAGAGATTACCCAGTAGTACAACACTAAGTAACATGTATCAACCCTCATACAGCAGCATCAATCCATTTTAATCCATGCCTTGAGCTATTAGCACCCACTAAAGCTATCCATGCATTGCAGAATTCATGCTTAAAAATAGCACAGGCTAAAGTTAACCACCTTTGCCCATCACCAAATGTGCTTTTGCAATTTAACAAGGTAATTATATACACCTCTTAAATCAACATGCTATAGTCACTACCTTCTTCAACAACCATTCTGCAACATGAGCTACTCACCGTAAAATCACATGAGTGGTTCTAACTGTCACAAGCAGAGACTGCAAAACAGGAGAAAAAGGAAATAAAACATACATTAACATTCCAGCAGGGACAGTGGTCCAGAGGCAGGAGCTAAAGGGCTAAACCACATTTATTGCAGCGTATTCACAAGTTCCAACGGTCACTACAGACAACCATGTGCACAACATACCTGTGACAAACATGAAGCTTATAAATAAACATGCAACAGACAGTCCTCGGGCACACAATACTCTCGGAGCACTAACATCACTGCTCTTAAGTCTCTTTTTTTTTTCCCCACTACGTAGAACGTATTACCTTTTTCAGTTCTTACCACTCAGTGAGTGTCAAGACCACAATCCCACCAACTACCTCTCCACACTCCACTGCTCAAGAAAAATCTGAAGAACCAAACAGTAACAGGAATTTGAGGAAGAATCATGGAAGCACTCTCAAATTATATCCCCCCTCGGCTGAGATGTGAAGGCTGCTAAAGTAATGTCTGCCTTTAATCATGCTTACCTCTCTAGGCTAAGTACAGAGAAAAAAGTCTGAGTATATCAGAACTGCTTCCAGAATACCTAACCACATTTCCACAGCTCTTACCACCTCAGAAACACGGGCCCATCACCTCCCTCTAATCCATCAGGCCCACAGTGCCCCTTCCCCTCACTGTATCCTCCCAGTGAAAGAAAATGGGACAGGACAAACCCATCAGAGCCTGCCCTGTAGTTAGCAGGGGCCAATTGACACCAAGATGCAGGGGATTTAGGAGCAACTGAAACCATTTCTGTAAAACTGGACCGATGGCATGCTTTCAGCATAAGTATTAAAAACAAGTACAGAAGAACTATCAAAACCACAAACTTCCCAATACAGTAATAAAGCAGTCGGTTTGGACGCTTTTTTTTCATCTGTAAAAAGCATTCTTAAAACACTCCTATATGTATTTAACCCTTCGTAATATCCAACACACCTGCCAACTGTTTACCAACTGACTTAAAAGTAAGTGTTTCTACAACTATTTACTAGTGCAATCTTTTATCCATAGAAGGGCTTTGGGATAAGATGCTCACATCACTCAAATAACACAAAAAACACATCAAGAAGGTAACAGCAAATCACCTAGCATTCTGTGTTGTTCTCATTACAAACATCTTCCATAAAAAAGTTAAATTAGCACACTAGCTGCTCCTGCAAGGCGCATTACAAGACCGTACTCTGCCTCCTGTTCCCCTGCATGTGGGTACAAGACTACACCTTATTCAAACAAGGTCTCTGGCTATGGGGAAACATTGGACAGACCGCACAGGACAAGTAAACACATCTAAATTCTAAACATGCAAGCAGTGAAACAGAATGATTACCTGAGCTGCTGGATGGACATGCCACTGAGCATAAATCTGTGCCAAAACCAGTACCCGTGGCATAAGGTCTCCAACACGGAAGACATCAGGCAGAAATCTAAAGAGTCTTGTCTTTGCAACTATTAAGAAGTTAGTATTTCCAAGACATGATTTATGCTGGTTAGTGCTGAGGCAGCAAGAGCACCAAAATTTAAAAAGGATAAGCTAGTGAGGACTGCGCCAAGGCCCTGGTCTCTGGTCCCTCCACTGTTTCCAGAAATGCATTTCAGCGCTGACAAGAGAAATGCTTTACAGGAAGTAGAACACTGCCTCACAAGGTACACAACTCCACAATCTGAGGTTCTAAATCTACGGCAGGCCATCTCCAGTACCAACACCTCAGGAGCTCTTGCTCTGCTCAAAACGAACCGCTTATCCGTCATGGACTCCACGAGTACTGGCAGATACTAGTCGCATAGATTAGCACATGACTAGAAGGCACTCAAACCCTGGGATAACAGATGTGGCAAGAAAAGCCTTGCAGGAAACGTACAATTCTAACATTTGAATATCACTATCATCATGCTGCCTTAACTGAGATGTATGAAACAGGATCAGAGGATGGCTGCTATAGGAATGGAGTAATTCCTTCTTATGAAGAAAAGGTACATAGACAGACTGTACATTACTGGACATTACTTGCTATACTATAATTCTCAAATACCACATAGCAAGACAAAAAAGCTCAAGTTTAGTCAGAAAGACTGTCCCTATTGAACCTTCCCTGGGTATTTGCGCATTTCACATCCATCCTCTTCAGGAAAGAAAATGCTGACAAACAATCCAGAACAAGGGAAGCCTAACTAAAACCCAAGAAAAAACATCTATATTGCTTTATTGAAAACACTGAGGCATCAAGCTAAATCAATGTCTGCAGAGTCAGGAGAGAGATGAATAGCTTAATGTAACTTAATGTAATTAAATACACACTAATGGAATACACTTGGCAGGGCCCCCCTTGAACAGCATCACACAAGCCACCACCAGGAAAACATTTTAGTCTGCAAGATTTAATGCATTTTGCTGAAAGCTTGAGGACTGCTGTGAGGTGTCACTGCTAGTACCTCTACAGAGAAAAGCCTAAATGTTTTATTCCACTTACATCACTGCTGGATATTAAGATCAGGGAAACTACTCACAGTTGCCCAATCCATATAAGTCATATTTAAAAAGTTCATGAAAAGGCAAGATGAAATGAGGAAAGATTAAACAGACTAGAGTTCTTTAGCTTGGAAGGAAAGTCAGAAGGGGAACAGGAGAAAAGGCCTATAAAATCACAAATGGTATGAAGAAGAGTAAACAGGGAATGATTCTTTGCAGTTTTTCACCATAAATGTATTAGGTGACAGCCAAGGACATTATCAGACAGAAGATTCAGAACAACTAAAAGAGCTCTTTTGTGTACACAAAGCTGAATTATATGTGGAATTTGTTGCCTTTGGATATTGTGGAGGCCAAAGTATAAATGAGTTCAATAAACAATCAGATAACTTTCCAGAGTCCACCTGAGGCTATCAAACCCAACAGGTTTGTGCAACCCTCAGCTGAGGAGCATTCTCAAGTGCTAGCAGTTGCAAGCAAGGGTAGGAGACCCTTTCCTACCCCATCCCTATAAATCTCCTCTGCTGCCCACCAGCAGCACAGCAGGATGTGTGGATCCATGGCTTAGCTGAGCACCACACGCTTCTGCTGACTAAGCCACTACTTCGCTCATGAGCAGACAGAACAGCTCTCACAGAAATGAACAGCTGGGCCACATCCTGAAACCCAAAACACATACACCACCACAGCACCAACGAGGCAACCCTTCAGTGCTGCAACACTCCCTGATAAACCTACAGCATGCTAACACACACCCAATGCATCCTTCTGCCACACCAAGATAAGAGACACACCACCACCGAGACCCTACTGATTAGAGACACAAATCTTCAATACCCTTCCACTGTGTAGTTAAAAATCTGGCCTTGCATATTCTCTTATATCGGGAAAAGTAAGCTGACATGAAACAACTGAACTGTGGTGTGACCAGCATCATATTATCCTATTATCAGCTAACTAACTTCAAGTATGAATTCAAGATAGGATAAGAAAACCAAACCATACATGCTACTTCTTATCTGTACAAAGATGTGCTAACATGACTGACATGCCAGTTATACCGGTTACCGCCCCACTGCTGAAGATTCCTCTTCCTCAGGCAGAGCGCAATAATCCAACATAACAGTAAAAACATATTGATATTCACTCCACAGATGTTTACTGCATGCTGCCAAGAGTTCAGGAGTCACAAACACATGTTGCTCATCTCAGGTGAGAACTACTCTCGGCACAAACATCATCTCATTCTTTTTGGGGAGAAATTAAATAGGAAATACAACCTCAAAGGAACAGGCTGAGGTGCTCATTTGCACATTACACTTTATACACACACTTTCTCCCTCTCTAGCAGCCATTTCAACTAATCCTTCTTGCAAAGCTCCTAAAGCACAACCTTTACTTTTTCACAGGCTGCCATTTGGTTTCAGCATCATCTTATGGATTTATCCTCGCATTCTCTCCTTCAGACAAAGATTTTTTGAAGGATTAAACTCTAAAGAGAGAAAGCATGCAGATCTGGCAACTAGTCCAAAACACAAAAGTGCATGTTCAGAGTTTCTTCCTTGTGAGAAAGAAAACCCACTGCATGCCAAGATACCCCCACATAAAGGGTGAAAAGCAAAGCAGAAAACACATGTGAAGGAAGTCTCACCTCTGCTGCCATGAAAGCCAATGTGTGCATGCCATGAGTGTAGCCGATAACACTACAGATGAGGGCTAATCCACAGCAGGACAGGAGCATGGCTACGAGCAGGGTCAGGACTCTGATGTGGCTGCTCATGGGCGTGGTAGGAGAAAAGGAAAGCTGCAACACAAATATATAAACACAGAGCAGGTTTAAAGTACTACATCCACCCTGCCTTCCACAGTCATCTCATCAAACAAATCCTCGTCCAAGAAGATCTTTTGCTTTCTAGAATAAAACCAATTTCACAACCTCAACCACACAACGCAGTAATAGATGACACACGATAAAGCTAAAACCACACACCATCCCAAAGCCTCATTCATTTTGCTGTCATTTATATTTAGCAGGCTTTTAAAGCCTGGTGCAATGTCTAGATCACCTGTGCAAGAAAACTGTAGACACTTTCTCCCACAGTAGTTTCTGCATCAAAGCTACAGCATCTGCTTAGGATAAATATGCATTTTAGAAAGACATCCAACCTTAATATGTAGCCTCTAGTTCTTCCAAAGCTATCTTCTTCTGGAAGAAGGAGACATCTCCACCCAAAAATTCAACCTGCAGCTAGAGACTGCTGGAGAGAACCTGCTGATAATAGTAGTCTCATTCAATAACATGCATAGTGTATTAATTCTCTAAACTACCTTAACAGTAGGCTACACCTAGGTTGTCGAAATCAAAGACAACTCAAGAGGCAAAGTATTTAGGTGGTCCAGTCCTTTATTTTCAGGGCAGGAAAGGGAAGAACAGGACAAGGAAAGAAGTAGTTGCCCAAAGCTTCCCTCTGGTCTAATTGATGAAGCTGACTCATATGTTTTGTTTTTAAATTGCTTATCTTCCTCTTTTACATCTGGTTCAGCCCCATATCCCCCTGAGTCTGCGAGGCAGATCACACAAGTACTGTTTGTCCAAGTAAAGAATTACTATATACGCTTTGAATGCAGAAGGAATATAATAAGGATTTTTTCCCACATGAACTTTGTTCTTTCACAGCTTCCCGAACAACACTAAAAATACCAGATGACTGTCTTGTTTGCTTCTGACTCCGTTTTCCTAACCCCAGTCAATCTAGTTTCAAGCTTAGTAGTTAGCTTCTTGTGAAGTAACAGCCTTTACTGGATACTAATTAAAAAAATATAAAATAAAATAAAATGACAAGCACAGCTACCAAAAGGAAATTCACAGATTCAATTTAGTTCAAACTTTTATTGCAGGACAGAGAAACTGAGGAAAATGCACGTCCACTATAGATATTTAAAGATGTTACTGTTAACATTTCAGTTCCTCCTTCCTTGCCTAGTCTTCAATTTCTGCATCTCTACTGAACTTATTCTGGGTATCAAGAGAAACTGGGATGTAGTTTATGGAGGAAGTTGCACTGTATAAAGACAATGTTTGGTAGACGTAAAGTAGCTTGAAACCCGAGTACAGAATCCACAGAAGCAGGCTTCACGGACTAATCCTAGACGGCACCAACCTAAGGGATGTCCTGCTGTCAAGATTCTTTCACTAAGGAGAACTATGAAGACATCTCACAGAGTTACGTAACAGTAATTACAGGGCCCATAGAAGGAGCAATTTAACAAAGAAATAAGTATCGTCAGCTACATTTGCCTCATGGGAAAACTGAAGCAGTACAATTGATGTGCACTTTAAAGCTACTGGGAGGTGCACATGTTCAGCACCGCAGGGTGCAGAAAAGGTCTAAATGATCTGTTTGTAACTGGATCAGGAAGCAGTGCCCAAACCAGAAACTAAATTTGCATGTCCCAGAAAACATCCCACAATTAAAACTCACATATTCAAAGCGATCCTTGCAGAGCTGAACCATAAGATGAAGAAACACGAGTACAGAGAACCAAAGGCACCACATCACTACTTCTTCCACTGTCTGAACATTCAGCACACCAAAAATGAAGATGAACTTGTAGAAAATGAAATTCCAGAATTTATCCTTGAGATGCTGTAAAGGAAAGACATTTGGTTACTGCAGCAAAAGTACTGACAACCCACATGCTGCACCAGGGGAGGTTTAGACTGAATATTAGGTGAGTTTCTTCAAAGAGAGGGTGACCAAGCACTGGAACAGGTTTTCCAGCAAGTGGTGGAATCACCATCCCTGGAAGTGTTCAAAAAACATGCAGACAAGACACTTGGTGACATGGTTTAGTGGTGGACTTGGCAGTCCTCTGTAAAGGTTGGACTTGATGATCTCAAAGGTCTTTTCTAACACAGCTGATTGTATGATTGTAATGGATGGGAACCTAGCTGAGAGTTTAATGTCTCTCAGTCATGAGAGGGAATCAAGTATGGGTTTTGTCAGTGTATTCGGTAGAGTATATATGTTTATGTTCATCGCGACTGTTTGTCCAAAGGAGGTAGGAAAACAGGTGTGCAGCTGTTCTATGACCTTCATACTTGGCTGCACCGGGGCGCCTGGCCAATGCTCTCAGCGTGGACAACAGTGAGATCATGAGAAACTGCACAGCCCCATGAGCAAACAATTACAGATCCAGCATAAAGCTGGTTGTTTTCCTAAGGGTATAAAAGCAGGACCCTCTTATAGACAAAACCGAAGCTTCACCTATGGGTAGACACACCATGTAGGAAAAAAACAAGATGAAAGTAGAAATGTAACAATATGTTAGCAAAAGCCTGCTGCACACACATCTTGAGTATCATTTGTTACCCTTAGCTTAGCACAAACCAAATTTGATCTCAGTTAGATATAAGGAAGAAGTTTTCCCCTGTGAGTGTGATGAGGCACTGGAACAGGTTGCCTCAAGAATCCCTGGCACTGTTTAAAGCCAGGGTGGACAGAGCCTTGGGCAACATGGTGTAGTGTGAGGCATCACTGCCCACAGCAGGGGGCTGGGAACTAGATGATCTTAAGGTCCTTTCCAACCCAAACCATTCTGTGATTATTCATGCCCAAGCAATGCAGCTACTGGGTTGTGAACATAAAGTCCTCTCTCCTAGGAGAACTGCCACGGTTAGTTATACAAAATGCCCAAATAGCCTAGCACCTTGCTTCCAAGAACCTGTCAAAAGCATAGATGATTAACGGAAGATGACAAAGTGTGTTCTTAAAAAGCACAAAGCCTGCAGTGGAGAATAAGATGAATGAGCAATGAAAAAAAAGAACTATTACCACGCACACGCAGTACGAAAGAAACAATATAATGGTCTCAAGCAGCGACAGCAAGCCAGCTCGGTGGGGATAAAAACATTAATGAAATGCTTTGTTAAAGCATTTTGTTAAAGACCATGATGAAATCACCAGAAGTTCAGCTAAGACAGGCCCAGAATTCCTTCACGATGCGGCTGGTTTTGACTCGTCAATATTAATAACCAGCTTTCCTTTACACGGAACAGCAGCATACTCCCACTGCCCAAACACAAATGGATCCACACTGTTCCTGCTTTTCTCTTCAATTTTTAAGACGGTAAAGAACGTCCTTGAAATTATCACTGTTTAAAATTCCACATCCTTGTAGCAGAGTCCGGAAAGTAAATCTGGCCCAATGCAGTTTGATTGTGCCTTGCTTTTAGGAGACTTCACTCAGAGGCTCTATTTGTAAGTAACAAATACAACAGGCTTTGAGAGACCCATGGTTATTAGTGAAACTTTACGTGCCCCAGTTCTGCATGTCAAAAAACATCATAGCTTGATTTCTCCTGAAAAACTACGTTTACACAATTTTTGTTTAAAATGAAAATACGTGAACACACTTCAAACCACTGTTACTGCGTTTACACAGAGCAACTTACGCCTTCGACTTTCCTTTAAAAAAAATACACAGATCCTATTAAAACTGCTGCTGCTACTTTCATCTTTAGCAGGATCCTATTTTTAAAAAGCTTGTGTTTTAATGCTGTATTTTTAAAAACATTTGCACCTAGCCCAAGAGCAAGACTAAACTACCTGAGTTTTTAGCCCTGCTTAACTCCTTTCTCTGGGCATAAGCCCGCTTACTCCCTCATAAACATGAGGGCACATAAACCATCCACTTGGCATATGAGGACATAAAGCACTTTTCCAGCATCACAGCACAAAAAAAGGCACAAGAGGGAACTGAGAATGCCAGTGCTGATAAATGGGCATGAAACACAGTGGAGAAATGCTGCCACGCACAAAGCAAATAGAGCAGAACCCATGTTATAAGTATTCTGAAATATCGCACTTGTAAGAAATCTGACAAAGTTCATTAAGAAAGCAGGATTTTCAAGTTGAGTGTGTGCTTATAAAATACAATAGGAACAGTGAAAAAGTTCCCTTCAGAAATCAACTGGAAGCTTGTGCCTATGGTTATACTAGCTAACCAAATGGTGAGATTTAACCTTACGTGGGCCTAAAATTTACTCTTCCTGTGTACTTCCAGCAGTTCCATACAGAAATGCACAGACACCGGTCACACACCAAGAATCATGAAACACAACATCCAAGGCAACACGTTGCTGTCTTACCTGCCTCTCGCTGACACGGAGAGGACCGAACACCATGCACTGGATGAACTTAGCCACCAGCATCAGGAAACAGCAGGCAGTGTTCACTAGTACCTGGAAAGAAAGCAAGCAGTCACCAACAAATACTTCTGCCCTATTTAGAAGGAGAGGGAGAGAAGGGGAATGAACAATTCTAACAAAACCTGCCATTGTTCACAGAACAGTATTGGTTGTCTGCTTTTTGAGGGGGTGAAATTTAAGCCTGACCAATTCCAAGACACATAGAGAAGCTGATAAGTCACTTAACTTTCTTTTCTAGAAATACTGACATGGTCAGTTTGAGACACTGGTAGAGCCAACAAACTAGCCTACCTCTTCACAATAAATTGTTTTGTACAGATTAGCACATTTTGGCACCAAGGAACATAGGGACAAAAGTCACAGATCCCCAAGATGCTCATTTTGTTTAACACAGGAGCAAGATTCAGATATTGTCTGGAAGCATAAGAAGCATTAGCCCTCCCGTAACAAACTTGTTTTAGTCCTGGTTGGGAAGGTGCTTTAAAGCAAAGGAGCAAGGAGCAGAATACTCAGGCCTGGGAAAATTGCTTCTCACATCTGACAAAGACACTTGTAATTAACTTTTGACCTACACAGAATACTGAAGGGGGGAAAGGAGAGATGATGAAGTAGCCTCACCCTGTCATTTCTAAAGGACATACAATAAACTTTTCCAGGGCTCTTAATTTAAAGTCCTGAGATGAAGTTTCAACAGGCTGAATGTGTTTGGTATATTGAAAACCCAATGCCTCCATCAAGCAAGCAGGTTGCAAAGATGTCCAACTAACACCACCATTGACTGAGGCAAAGCTCACCAGCAGCAACTCAGCTGGGTTTCTGATATTCCCCTGATAAGCTTTTATTTAAACTATGGAAATCAGTGAGCCAAAAAGCACAGGCCACTGCCAGGTTTGGGTTTAAAGAGCTACACAATATTATTAGTTTTTCTTTTCTTAAATGGTGAGAATACTTCCTCTCACCAGCATGGCTTTAAACGTTGTTTTAAAATCGAACACCCGGTGGTCTCCTCCACAGGTCTCCAGATGAGGGAACACACAGTGCCTGGGGCAGCG